CACACACACACACACACACACACACACACACACACACACACACACACCCACACACAGTATCTCTGTGTTAATATGTTATAACAAGAACACCTGTGTGCACCCGTTGTTTTGATAACTACCTCCTCTACATAAATTAAACTGTAAAACATAAAAACGAAAATAAAAGTTAAGACACGTTCAGGATTTTAATCGACCGATCTCCCGTTCCTAAACTTGGACATTAAAACCAGAAGAATCGTTTGGTGTTGAAGGTGTTGAACTTGCCTTGCACAGTCGGACTCATCGCTTCTTCTCTGTTGGACGCGCTTTCACTGCGCTGCGTTTTCCTGGTTTATATTTAAGAAGGAAGTGTCACATGATGTGTCGCTGCTCTTCCTGTTTAGAAACAAAAGCCTCACCACGTTCATGTGTTTGGTGAACACCTGTGTGCTCAGGGCAGGAGAAACTGGGAACATGAGGAAATGACCAGCGAAAAGTCATCCATTCGGTTTATTTATTAACTTGTGGGTTTTTGACTTTAAACTTAACTAGAGAATCATGGTCCATTTCTCATGAATGATGAGGAAGAATACATACTGTAATACTTAGCAACTATTACCGGTAATTATATGGGCTACTGTACATTTTGTGCCACAGTGGTCATTGAGACCCAAGGCTTGGCTGGCTGAGTGCTAAAACCCCCAGCCAGTCAGTCAGTGGGACATTCTAAGATGGATTATTAGGGCCACATTACGTTTTTTTTATGTCAAGAATAAAATTGAAATGTTGTGGTTCGACTTTATTTTTGACATTTAGACTTTATTTTCAACAATGATTTTATTCTCAATGTGCAAAAAACAAACAAAAAAACCAACAACTTCCTCCTTTCATTTTGTTCTTCCTATAGTCATTGTAAAGCACATAAAATGGTGATGAAAACCATATTCTCCAATGGGGAGAATGAATATGTTCAATATATTTAACAGCAAACTGTTCATTAAATTCAGACATTTCTGTGGTAGAAGTAAAATTTTCAGTGTGATGGTACGATTAGAAAGGTCAGGGAGGTCACAAAAAACATTATGATTCAGTTTTGAGTTAGTGCAACGGCGAGTTGTCTTTGAGGTCCAGATGTGGGGATATGTGATTCTGGACCCAAGTGCAGGTCAGGATAAATATTCGACCTGTCAGGAGGCTGGAGGAAAGGTCAGAGGGTCACCACATTTTATGGCAGTCTGCCAGATGCTGTCAAGGTCTCTGGGCCAAAATGCTGCATGGACAGATGCATAAACCCTTTCTACTGTAGTGCTGTGAATATTTAGCTACATAGTGCAAGGTATTTTATTTTGTGCAAGGTCGCCAGTCCATTACAGGGCTGACACTTAAGCCTTTTTTCCACGGCCTGGCACTGGTTCAGCTCGACTCGACTTCATCCATCCATCCATTTTCCTCCGCTTATCCGGGACCGGGTCGCGGGGGCAGCAGTCTAAGCAAAGATGCCCAGACTTCCCTCTCTCCAGACACTTCCTCCAGCTCCCATTAAATCAATCATCAATTCAATCATTAAGACATAGTCCCTCCAGCGTGTCCTGGGTCTTCCCCGGGGCCTCCTCCCGGTGGGACATGCCCGGAACAGCTCCCTAGAAAGGCGCCCAGGAGGCATCCGAAGCAGATGCTCGAGCCACCTCAGCTGGCTCCTCTCGATGTGGAGGAGCAGCGGTTCTACTCTGAGCTCCTCCCGGGTGACCGAGCTCCTCACCCTATCTCTAAGGGTGCGCCCGGCCGCCCTGCGGAGAAAGCTTATTTTGGCCGCCTGTATCCGGGATCTTGCCCTTTCGGTCATGACCCAAAGTTCATGACCATTGGTGAGAGTCGGAACGTAGATTGACCAGTAAATCGAGAGCTTCGCCTTACAGCTCAGCTCCTTCTTCACCATGACGGTTGACTCAACTTGACTTGCCTGATTTGTGTTTTCATCAGCCAAATGGGGTTTGTACTTGGTGCTATTTTTGGTATCACCTCTGTCAAGCTTCCAAGCAAACAAAGGTGGTACTAAATGGTGACATTTAAACGCTGCAGACTAGCTGCTTATCAGAGAAATCATGGCACAAACCTGCGAGATGTGCTGGAACAAAGAAAGCACCATTTTTAGAAGCAATGTTATTTAACACTAACCACTACTTTACTGTACTAACTAAAAACAGCCACATACTGAGAATCAAGAACAGCATCCCTTCAGTGTTGCTGACAACATCACGTCAGTGTAATGCGGTGTTGCTATGACAACCAGCTACACCGAGAGGGGACCATCTGCAGCGATAAACCAGGCACCCAGGTACCGAAAGTGAGTAGAGTTAACCTGAGTTGGTACCAGGCGATGGAAAAGCAGCTTTAGAGACAGACAGCCACCCACGTTCACTCTTATAGTGAACTGGACTGTCTGAAGAAGCTGGAGTACACGGAGGGAACCCACGCAGGCACAAGGAGAACATGCTAACTCCACAAAGGCACCTGGTCCGGGGGCTCAAACCCAGAACCTTCGTGCTGTGAGGCGACAGTGCTAACCACTGCTCCACCCGGTGACCTGATATAGTTTAGTTTTCAGGGGCCTGCAGGTGGCTGGGATTGGCTCCAGCCCCCCGTGACCCCGTTTGGGACTAAGCGGTTTGGAAAATGGATGGATGGATGGATGGGCCTGCTAGTTAATATTTTGTTTCACTACTGGGTACATTTACAACTCAGAGTGTTTAAGCCAAAATTTGCATCTGACATGATCAAGTAAAAATTTTACAGTTATAAAGGAACTGATTCTGTGTCAACAGGAAAGGATCAGCCTCCACTGACAGCTTCCACACAAACTGTAATTAAAACTAGAGACTGGAACTAGCTCAGACTACCAGCCAAACACAGTAAAATGTTGGTTGTGCCTGGTGGGTTTGTAGATTAAAATTGGCACGTTGCACAAAACCAATCAGTGTTGTGGGTAAAGGCTCTTAACACCATGGCCTGGGGGTGCCTAAAGCTGTATGTGATTCTTTGTGGGGCCGACCATCACTGAGATCTGCTGCTTTGAGAATAAAAGTGCAAAGACTTCAGGGGTTCAAAGTGCTTCAAATAACTCAAGTAACATCCTCATCAGACTTTTTAGGGTGCCTCAATCCAAGAGTCTAACATTTATCTCTTTTCATTCCAGAAAAGTTCAATTTGAATTAGTTTTTATTGTACAGTAATTCAAAAATGTGGGTGTTGTTGGGGGAGAAAAAGCATAAACATGTATTTTTTTGTTGTTGCTTTAGTTTTTAAATAAATTCTGTACATTTTTAAGGGTAGGTTTTGTGTGTAGTAGTCAAAGCTGTTGTCCCTTGTTGTCCCTTCCTCTGAGCTCCACCATGGTCCCCTCACATGATGGGGTAACTGGCCAGATTGGCAATGCCACAGAGGTTGCCACGGTTTCGTTCCATCAGGATGTAACCATTCTTGCCCCAGCTCTTGCCCCAGCTATCATGAAAAGACAAAAGACGGCAACAGAGATGGAAAGAAAGAAATATGAGCAATGTTGAGCATCGCCAGGAGTCAAACAGCCTCTCATGTCATCAGTTTGTCATCAACACAGCTGGCAGATGCATCAAACCGGTGTTACAACAACAAACAACCTGTTGTTTCATTTTGGCAGCCTTATGAGCCACCTGATGCCCTTCAGACAGGTGATGTGTCCCACCTGTTCTTGATGATCCAGTACTTCTTCCCTTTGGGGGTCACTCCATAGCCCACTGCCAGCACAGCATGATTGATGTCTTCTTTGTTACAGTTGGGGTCGAAGTAAACACCTGGGCATGTGACAGAGGAAGAGAGAGTGAGGAGGAGAAGCTCAGCAGGACGTGTGTCAGT